ACCTCCAACTCCTGGGCTCAAGGGAGTCTCCTGCCTCAGCCTCCCAAGTAGCTGGGACCACAGGCGTCCACCACAATGCCTGGCTATTTTTTGGTTGCAGCCATCCTTGTTGTTTGGCGGGCCCAGGCTGGATTCGAACCCACCACCTTAGGTGTATGTGGCTGGCGCCTTAGTCACTTGAGCCACAGGCACCGAGCCATCCTCATAATTTTGTATGAAATCATACAATAATCTTTTGCAATTGGCTTTTCTCCACTCACATAATTCCCTTGAGATCTATCAAAGTTGTTGTAACACTAGTTGTTCTTTTTTCTTGCACAGTAGTATTGTGTGGTGTGAATATACCACTGTTTAATTATTTATTCTTTAAAGAACATTTGGGTTGTTTCCAGTTTGAGGCTATTATTATAATGCTGCTATAAACATTCGGGTACAAGTTTTTGTGTGAAGATAAATCTTCATTTCTCTGCGATAAATACCCAAGAGTGCAATTGCTGGGTTGTATAGTAGTTAGTTACATATGCAAGTTTTTAAGAAACTGCCTAACCATTTTTCAGAGTGACTGTATCATCTTATATTCCTACCTGCAATGTATGAGTGACTTGGTTTCAAGTTTCTCTACATCCTTGCAAGTATTTGTCTTGTCACTACTTTTTATTTTAGTCCTTCTGATAAGTAGGTAGTAAAATTTCATTAGGGTTTTAATTTTTATTTACCCACTGACTAATTATGTTGGACATTTCTTTCCATGGGCTTATGCTATACTCTCTTCAGTGAAATATTTGTTCATGTATTTGTGCCTATTTTCCAACCAGATTGTTCTTTTATAGGTGAGTTTTAAAAGTTTCATTTTATTTATATATTTGTTTTTAGAGATGAGGTCTCACTGTTGCCCAGGTTAGAGTAGAGTAGCCATTCGCGGTAGGATCATAGTGTACTATACAGCTGCAGACTCCTGGGCTCCAGCAATTCTCCTGCTTCAGCCTCCTGGGTAACTAGGACTACATACAGGTGCCCGCTACTGCACCTAGCTTGTCCAAGCCTGCTCAGCCTAAGAGTTCATTCCATACTTTAGATACAAGTTGTTTGTTGAACATGTGCTGTCTTAATTCACTTGCAGCACTATAGAGGAATACCTAAGGCTAAGTAATTAGTAAATAAAAGAGGTGTATTTAGCTCATGGTTTTGCAGGCTATACAAGAAGCATGGTCCTGTCATCTGCTTTAGCTGAGTGCTTATGGCTGCTTCTTCTCATGGTAGGAGAGGGAGAATCCGGGTGCAGAGATCATGTGGTGAGAGAGGAAGCAAGAGTAAAGTGGAAGGTTCTGGGCTCTTTTTAACAACCACTCTACTAGTTTCTAAGAAACACATGGACAGCACCAAGACATTGACTGGAGGTCCAATCCCATGACACAAATAGCCCTCATTAAGCCCCACCTCCAACACTGGGAATCAAATTTCAAAATGAGGTATGGAAGGTCAAACATTCAAACTATAGCGCATGATTTGCCAACATTTCTTCCCCCATATTTATCATATCTGTCTCTTGTTTTCTGGACTTGAAAGGTAGCACTATCTACTCCCATAAAGTGTAATGATGATCTTGAAGTCATAGGTTCTGAAGATCAGTCTTCTCTACCTCAACTGGACTGGTGAGCCAAGGAAAAAGCAGAACTTTTGCAGGTAAGTCTTACTATTAAAAGTTTATTATGGACTGAGTACTGAGCTAGGATCTAGAGAGGGTTAAAAGGCATCCTTTGCCTTCAATAGGTGAGTTTAGTGGGGGAGACAGTTGAACAAAATAAATACTAACAATCTGGCATTCTAAATACCAACATAGAGTTCTCCTAGGATGCAGCTATCAAAAGGAAAGAGACAGAAGATAAGGCAGCTTGGAAAAGTCTTCTTGGACAATGCCTTTCAAGTACAGTGTAAGGAAATGTATCTTCTTTATAGTTCACAGCACATCTTTCTCTCATATTACAACATATTTTTAAACCTCTCCAAATTTAGTTCTTCTATTGTTCTTTCATAATAAATTATTAAGAAGTGCGTAAATG